CGGACAGGAAGCGCTCAGGCAGCGGCCGCTCCCGCCGCCCGCCCTGCCTCCATCCCTTCCTGCTCCTCCTCCTCCTCCTCCTCCTGCTGCTGCTGCTGCTGTTGCTGCTCCTGCTCCTGCTGTCTCCGACCGACCTGCTCCGCCGCTCCCCCGGGCTAGGCGTGCGGTGCTCACCCACGGCAGGAGGGAGTTCTCACGCCGGGAGGGATGCACAATGCCCCTCATCCCAAATAGGACAGAGGGTGCCCCCGGGCAAGGTGCATGGTCCTCCCCAGGCTTTGATCACTGTCTCTACATCCCCGCCAAGGCAAGATGCATGGTTGCTTCTGGGCAGGGCACACTCCCCCCACCCCGGGTCAACAGGCATGGTTCCAGGCAGATGCATGGTCGCCACTGAAAGGGTACGTGGTACCCCAGAGAGGCACACAGTGGCCCCAAGGCAGGGCACACGCTTCTCTCCGTGTCCAGGATGCATGCTGTCCCCCAGGCAGAGGTGCACAATCCCACTGAAATCCCCCAGAGCAATGGGGGGGACACCAGGGAAATCGACTCTTTTCCAGTAGTCCACCAAGTCTGTGAGTGCTGGAGCCTGTCCTGTGTAAGCCCCCATGTGTAGTCCCCAAGTGCTGCCCTTCCCAGCCATTGCTGCAGAGCTAAGGAGGGTGGGGGCTTTTTCCTTGTGGGAAGTCAGTAAGAGGCATGAGCAGAGCCTGCCCCTGGGCGTCCTCTGGGGGTACCTGGGCTGCAGCCAGGTGCCCAGCATCCATCATGTTCAGTCCCTTGGTATCTGCTCCCCAATGTCCTGTAGCCCCACAGAGACTCATGGGACACACGGAGACCCTGGCACCTCCTGCTCTAGGGACTGTGCCCTATGGGGGAGGTCAAACCTCCAGCTCCTGCCTTTCCATCCTGGCTGCAGCACATGTGTTGATCCATCAGAAGCTGGAACTGCTGGCACTCAATCCTCCCTTAAGATGTACTGACAGCTCCCTGGCTGCGCTTCACACCTGCCTCCAGGAATGCCAGTTCCCAGGCTGACCTCAGCAGCTGCCATCAGCTCCAGGGCCAGGGAGGTCAAGAGTGGTGGTCCTGGGGGTGACTCAGCCATACTGCTATCTGCACACTGCAGATCCACGTCCCCTTGCCAAGAAGCAGCGGAAGAGGCGATGCTGTGGTTCCCCTGGGAGCACACAGCCTTGGGCTTGGCCTTGGGCCCAGCTGGTACTTCCCAGTCCGAGGTCTGGATGTCAGTAATGCACAAGTCAGGACATGGGGGCCCAGAACAGAAACGAGGGTTCCTGGCAGCAGCTGGGCAGGCATGAGCCAGGAGGAGGACAGACTGGGGGAGCAGCCACCCTGACCCCGCAGTAGCCAGGCTAAGTGCCTCCTGCTGTGGCCCCACCCCGAGATGCAGTCACTTCCCAGCAGAGTCCAGTTCCCTCCCACCAGCTCAGGGAATCGCCAAATAAGAGCAAAGTCTTGGCTGGGAAAAGCAGCTGGGGCGGGAACACGGGTGAAGCTTTTGGGATCATGGCCTGGGAACGACAGATTTTCCCTAAGGCTCCTTTGGGATGGCTGGGGACAGGCCAATGCTGGGGATGCAGGGCAATGGAGGGGGCTGTTCTGGCCTAAACCTGCTGTCCCAACTGCACCGTTTCCAGCAGCTCTTACCCATCCTGACCTAGGCACCATGGTCTGTCCCTCCTGAGGACAAGAGGTTCTAGGGCAGCGGTGGGCCCACAGAGCTTCTGTGAAGTTCTGTGGAGTTGCTGATCAAGAGTTAGGCATTCCCTGCTCTGTGTGCTGACACCTCTCCAAGTGCCTGGGGCAAAGTATTTGCACTCTTTAGTGCAGTCCCCGTGGCCTTTCTGCTCCACCACGCAGTGCCAGCAGCAGGGCAGGGCCATACTGAGGTGCATGTTTATTCTTTTAAGGCACTGACATTTTTGCCAAGGGCAGGAGGCTGCCTGGATTGCCGGTATGAGCCTGAGCTGTCTGAGGAATTGGGACACTCTGTGCTCACAGGCACCCACTGTCCTGGCAGCCGGGGAGGACATGGGGTGGGTGTGCTCTGGGGGGACACCCAACGCTTCCTCTGCTGGAAGCAGGAGCTGTGCTGCACCTTCCATCGGGAAGGAGGTGACACCAGCCCTGGCACTTAGAGCTGTCAGCACATTCAGGTCCCTGGCACGGAGGAGGGACTCCCAGGGCCCCAGACATGGTGCAGCCCATCCAGGCTTTGGCATGGACCTGGGAGGGCTGTGTTGGTGATGGAGCCCTAGCCCTGCTGCAGCCAGCCTCCAGCCTGACACTGTTCCTTCACCATGGCTCCTGCTCTGGCCCTTCCCTGGTGGTTCCCATCCACTGTGTCTTCTGATATGGGACTCTCCATAGTGAAGCCCACAGATTTGCCAAACTGCTGTGAACCAAGAGCAGGGAAACACCTCTAGCAATGCATCTGAACAACTTGGGCCAGAGCACCAGCCAAACTGTCTGTAGAGTTTCTTATCAGACCCTCTGGAATTTCTCAAGATTGCTGAGACATAAGCTGCTCTAAAAATAAGAAAGAAGAGGCTGAAAAGCAAGAAAACAGGAGTACAAGAGCCAGACAACAGAGGGCGGTTGAACACCTGGACTGTAACCAGTCCTGTGCCCCGAGGGGTGCGTGCAGGGCGCGTGGACAGGACAGGGGCACCAATGAAAAGATGTTCGTGTGAACAGTAGTTTTAGAATGTATAAATAAGTGCATAATGTAAACAATAAATTTTTGTGAAATCACATTGGTTCATTGGTCAGAGGTCCTGAACTCCTGCAAACACCATCCCTGCCCTGGATGGCATCGTACAGCCCACTGCCAGAAGGAAACACCACCCCATAGCTGACATCTGCCCAGTAACACTGTTTGCCCTTTCCTCTGAGCCCTGCACTGGGAACAGCACATCCACTCTCAACCACACTGAGTTTGCCCTGTCCCATACCAGCACAGAACCAACAGCAGCCACCTTGCCCAGCTTGACATGCCAGCCCCATCCCACGTTGAATGTGGATTCTCAATGTTTTAAAGGAGAGTCATCTGTAGGACCAGCAAAGAGGTCTGAGGAGACCCCTGGCTGCTGCCCAGGAGCTCTGGGCTGCCACAGGACTGGTGTTGCCATTGCTCGTCCTTGTCCGCTCGCCCCTGTCCTTGGCGGCAGCCTCAGAGATTTGACGCATCTCCCCCATTTAGCTCCACAAACCAGCTGGGATTGAATTTTTTGTTCTCAATCCTGAAAAGCCTGGCCATGCCCTGCTGGCTGTGCTCCAGACGGCTCTCCTTTAGCTTCTCCTCCAGTTTCCAGGGTTGGTTTTCATCAAAGAGGGGCTGGCTATCAAAAGGAGGATTTATTTATAGGGTGTCAAATACCCTGTGTGGCACCACAGGTCATTATACCCCATTCCCAAGCGGCCCCGTGGCCACACACAGCTGTTCCACCCTTCATCCTGGCCAGGCACAAGCCAATTTCAACACCTTCCTAACATCTCCTCAGAGGGATCTATTTCCCAGGAGAAACATCAGTCATGGCACTAAATAAAACTCTTCCTGGCCTTGTCCTTCTCAGGGTACGAAGTAGCACACTGGACCCCAAATCCCCCCATATCCCCTTCCATACATCCCAAGCATTCTTCCTTGCAGCCAGCACACAGCAGCTAACCACAGCAAGAGATTTTTCCGTTTCTCTGCTCTGCCACAGTTTAGCAAGAACCACAGTTTTTCCTATGAGCATTGAGGAGGTGCGTGCCTGGGGACTTTGACACAGCTTGGGACACTTGTCCCCGTTAGCTTTGGGGAGCCAGGCTGTAGGCTACCCACAAAGCTCAAGACAGGACCAGCAACCAACACTGCCCACTGCAGTTGGCCTGGCCCCCGCATCCCACACAGGACCCATCAGCCCAGTTCAGTGTCAACATCGAAGGAATGGGATCCTGACAGTCTTCCCCTCGGACGCTTTCCATATAAGGGCCCCCTCTTCCTTTAGCCCCCCCGAGGTCCAGAGCCTGTGCAGGGGAGGAGCTGCTGGAATGCCTACTTACATCTGTAGCTTTCTTCTCTGCCTGCTCCAGCTTCTCCTGGGCCTCCTTGACGGACTCGGAGTACTTCTCCACCTCATCCTCAGTGCCCTTCAGCTTCTTCTGCAGGCCCTGCTGTTCTTCCTCCAGCTGGGGAAAGGACAAAGGGTGAGGGTCAGGGGAGATGGTGGTGTCTGCAAGGCTGGAAGGGGATCTGTCCTCCCATTCTCCTCCTGGGGACACCCAGCCTGTGGGGGGCAGAGCAGGAAAACATGGACATGTTCTCTGACAACTTTGGGTCTACAGGTCCTTGGGGGGCTCTTGGTGTAGAGCAGCCCCCAGAACCCCCATCATCCCTGAGCCTGGTGGAGGTAAGGGGGTGGTGATCTCCTTTCCCATATAGGGGACTAGAGAGCTCCTGACTTGGGGGTACAGCTTTGGGGGAAACCAGTCTGTGTTCCCATCTCTTTGTGCTCTGGTGGGAGTGAGCAGTCCCCAGGGTTCTCCCTGGCACAGAGACAGGGAGTTGGGACTGGGGTGTCCCACTGAGATAAGACATGTCTGGGGGGACCAGCGCTGGGGGTCAAGGAAAAGAGACTGAAGTGTTGGTTCCTGGGGACATACCCACATGGGGCGATGTCCCTGGGGACGCAGTCCCAGAGATTTAAGGTCTCAAGGGCTGTCAATTCCTAGAGCTAGCATCCAGAAGCAGAACACCCAGTGGGGCAAGGTCCTTTGGCCAGGACATGCTTAGGACAGGGGGTTCCAGGCTGGATAACCAGTGGTATGGGGATTATGTGGTCCTAGAGAGTGCAGTGTACCCAGGCTGGACAATCAGTGGGATGGAAACCCAGTGTGAAAAACCTAGAGTTTCCAGGACCGGACAACCCTAAGGTGGAGGATCCCTAGGCTGGACTCCCAGCAGAGTCCTGGGGCTGGACACCCCTGGAGGGGAGGGTACCCAGGTAATGCTAGGGAAGCCCGTGGGACACCCACCTGCTTGCAGCGGTCCTCCGCCTGCTTCTTGTCAGCCTCCGCTTGCTCGGCACGGTCGATGGCATTCTCCTTGTCCAGTTTCAGCATCTGCATCTTCTTCTTGATGGCCTCCATGGTGGCGGGGTGTCGGCGGCGGGGCGCGGGGCGGCAGAGGAACGCGGAGCACCGGGAGCGGCGGGAGCACCGGGAGCGGAGGGAGCACCGGCACTGCGTTCCCCGCCCC